AACAGTGGGAGTATTAAATAAAATAAAAATTGAAAACAAAATTCTGATAAAGTTACTTTCTTACTACATTTTCAGTCAGCTTGTTGACATTTATTCCTTCACATTTAGTTAGTTTCGACTTTATTACTCTTTTCGTTCAGCTTTATTTGCTTGGACATAGGTTTTACCTTTCTCCAACTATACAAAAATACAGAAAATGACTATGCAATGATGCAAACAAGAATGTTTCAAGAAAAAAAAAATGATGCAAACAAGTAATCTATGCTTAGCTAATACGCATAAACTCTGTCGATGGTTATATAATTAATTTATGCCAACAGATCGACGTTGGATCGCATCGCTCACACCATTTACGGATTTTGCTCAAATTAGTTTTACTCCTCCTCACGATTCTGATAACTTTTGACAGAATTATGATCGTTGTGTTTATATGCAGATTATATATTTTTTTGTTTTACCTCGATTGAAGTTTGGCCAGTTCCAACATCTAATAACAAATATGTCTAGAGGCTATTATTAACGTAATTAAATTTTAAGTTTAGCAGGATTTTAAACCAAATATGCATTAATGACTTAATGTCAAACCCAACCTCATAGTTAACCTTGCAAGATTTACATATTACTCTGTAAGAACCAAGAAAACACATGTCGGCTCTTTCAACTTTATTACTCTTTTTGTTCAGCTTAATTAGCTTGGACATAGTTTTTACATTTCTTCAACTATACAAAAACACAAAACCATGACCATGCGCCTATATAAATAAGTAATATTTGCTTAGCTATTAGGCAGAAACTTTGTCGATGAATATTTACCGTATATTAGTTTTACACTTTTAATTCTCTGATTCCGATCATTGTTTTCTATGCAGATACCTCAATCTAATTTTGATCAATTTCAGAATCTAATAAGTAATATGTATAGATCCCCATAATGATCGTAACTACATTTAATCTTTAGCAAGATTTTTCATATGATACACGTGCATCAATGTCAAATCCAACTTCATATTTAACATTGCAAGATTTGTTTTTGGTATGTTAAGTAAGAAACACCCATCCGATCTAGATAAAACTTCGTCCAATTTGAAATCATAGTTTGTTAGAATGCTTAGTATTATGAAAAATTAACTTGGTGTAAGTGATGGCTTTTGATCCTCTGATTTGAAAAAATAAAAATGATGGCCTTGATCTTTATGATAGAACATTCACTTGAGAACAAAGCAAGAACAGAGAGAATCACCTTCAATAATGAATCCATATAAGAAAATCCTAAGACATTATTACTCATAGTAAGTTTATTGGATGAACAATAAAACACCAGCCATTGGAGAAACTAGGAATGTCTTAAAACTAGACTCAAGGACATTGCTCTGTATTTTCATTTATTGGATGCTATATATGTTCCTATTATTCATATAATATGTATGAGAAATATGACTCAAGAGATTTTGTTGATATATATGCATAAAGAATCATTCAGAAGGTGGATCGAGGCGAAGAGATTCCAACTTGCTCTCAATTCATTTGGATGAGGATCCTTCATCGCGATTATTGTTCTGACCATCCTGAAACAGAAAAAAAAACAGTTTAAAGAATTTCATAAATAACTCTTTGTTTAAGATTTCTAGCTCTAGATTTCAGCCTTTACCTGATTAGTGTTGGCTCTGTTTGCACCTTCAATTACCTGAAGCTCCTGTTTACCACCAAGAAAACAATTTGACGCAACGCTTAATTTATTTAAAATTAATTTTAAGGATATACAGTATTTATATATCATAAAAATTGATGTTTTAAGTATAATACGAACCACAATTTCTTCTAGAGAAAAGTAGTAAATCGACTTTCATACGCACGTCTCTTACCTTTCTTGCACACAATTGCTGTACAAAATCATATAAAAAACATAAACCAAGCAGAATCATGCAGAGTCTTCGCGATATTTACAATATCAAAATTTTTAAGAATCCATATCAAAACGAACTTAACTATAAAGTATAAACCGTGTTTTATTAGAAAGAAATTATAAACCATGATTCTACTCACGACCACAAGACAGTTCTCACAGTTAAATTTTTTTACTTACCATTCTTGATTCCGAACCCACTAATTCCTGATGGTGGTAGAAATTCGCAGACCATTCCCACATACCGCTTTCGAGTAACTCTCATCAGGAAAGTGACTGTGGATCCTATGGTAATAGGCAGAAACATTGTCAGTGAATATTTATTTTACGCAATATATTTGTGGATTGAATGTCGTCGATTAGTTCAAAATCTAATAACTAATATGTCTAGAGATTATTAACGTAATTTAATTTTAATTTTAGCAAGATTTTAAAACGAACAACATTCACTAATGTCAAACCCAACCTCATAGTTAACCTTGATTTATTACTCTATTTCTATTAATCTTTTTACGTATTAATCTCTCTCGATTTTTTTTTTTTGGTCGATAATATATATTTCGTCCATTTTGAAATCTCATTTTGTTAGAACTAGAGTGCTTAGTATTAACAAAATTTGGTGTAAGTGATTGCATTTTTGATCCTCCCGATTTACAAAAATGATGGCCTTCCTCTTTATGATAGAATCTTTGATGGAACATTCACCCAAGAACAAGAAACAAAATAACAGAGAGAAGTATCTTCAATAATTTTTTTTGTTCAAACTATATCTTCAATATTTAAACCATATAAAATCTTAATACTTTGTCACTTACAGTAAATTTATTGGATGAACATTAAAACACCAAACATTAGAGAAACTAGGAAATTATCTTAAACTAGACTCAAGGATGCTATGGTCATATTATTCATATAATATGTAATGAGAAATCTGACTGAGAGATTGTTTTGATAGATCACTCTGAAGGTGGATCCAATTATCTGGATGATGATCCTTCATTGTTATTACCATCCTGAGAAAGAAAAACATCAAAAGAATCTCATAAATAACATCTAAAGAATCTCATAAATAGCATCTAAAGAAAGAAAACCATTTACAGATTTCAGCTATCACCTGATTAGTGTTGGCTTTAATTTCCCTTTTAACTACCTCAAGCTCCTGATTACGACCAAAAAAAGAAAAAAAAAACAATTTAAAGCTCACATTTTTTTATCCTTCGTCCACATATCCATTAATGATAGAAAATAAAATTCGATGTTTTTAGTCTTATACAAACCACAATGTTACTTAGAGAAAAGCTGCCAATCATCTCTGGGTTAAGCGCATATTTTCTATCCTTCGTCGACATAGATACTGTACAAATCACATAC